TGTTGATTTTGGCCGAATAATTTCGAATCAAATTCGAATAGTATATATGACATATAGAAAAAAATGGGCATATTTATCATAACCTAAGTAACCTGCTCAATATTTTTTAAATTGAACTAGAGCTTCTATACAAATGCCTTTTGCATAGGAAGTCAAAACAATTTTCAGTTATCCCACAGAGGACTGCGAATTCGGAGCAGTAAATTTTAATTTTGGAGCATTTTGGAGCAGGTAATCTTGCTATTAGAACCATTTTATAGCCGTAAAATTTTAGTTTTGGAGCAGGTAATCTTACTAATAAGAGCAGTTTGGCATAGGTATATATTCATAATGGAGCACTTCGGAAAAGAAAGTACCTCAAACACTTTAATATTAAAGAACGCTGACCTAGAGCAAAGAATCTTTTTAGATTGAAAAAGGCTTCGAGAACTTTGTTGCTGCTCTTTTCAACATTTCTGGTTTATTATTTGGGGTGAAAATATGGGTTAGTATACATTTATTTATAAGTTATTTCTGAAATTCGCACTGAAATCTCTGCATGTGATACCACGAATTTCAATGTGTATTTTTTTACTTTAGCGACATTCGCCTAGAGTAATTTCCTGAGACTTAGTATGTTAAGTCTAGAGCCATCTCAAAAGTCAGTTTACTTTGTTTTTAGTACTTAGGAGCTATGTACAACCTACTAAAAAACATCAAAATTCATAAAGTCCCGGCAATCGATGTATTAATGCAACTATATTAAGCCACCTAAATTTTTTTTGCACGTTTTTTTGCTTACAGAGAGAGTTCTTGTGGCAAACATGGTGGTTTGAAGTTATGGCCACGTAATTTACTAATGTTGAATCTCATTAATTAATTCAAACACGCTTTATTCGAACTTCCATTTAATTAAAACTGATGCTGTGGTCCCATGAAAGCTATGTGTATACCAATGGACGAAAACCCCCTGTAATTCGAATGCGCAAGCACTTTGACGGTTAGTTCGAACATACTGCGCTTCGAAAATGCTCAGCACCACGCCCGATCCTACAACGGCACCTCCCGCACGTCAACACTGCACGCCAAGAAGGAAAAGAAGAAAAGGAAAGGCTGGGGCAGAATGTTTGCTCTCTCTCAAATAAATGCATACCGGCGAACCTGGCAACAGAGAAATTCGTAAAGCCCCCGAGAGGGGAGCAGGGTTACAGACTTCTTTTTTAAATTTGTAGCTGTGATAGATTTGCCTTTAGCGACAAAAATAATCATGTTTTGCCGCCATAAGTCAAATTGATGCATTGAATTATTTTCCCCCATTTTCGACACACACAAAAAAAACAACAGCGAAAAACAAATGGGGGGGGGGGGGGTCCCAAACGCAAGCGCAAACACAGGCGCTGCGGTTCATAATGGCTTGGAGTGGCCCAACACACGAGGGTAGGGTTTTAGACTAAGGTGAGAGTGTAAAGAGGAAGCGCAAATGTTCGCGGCCAAAATTTCGCGTCATCAAAACAACTAGCAAAATATATTTCCGCCAAAACAACTCGCGTATACCTTCCACGGACAAACGTGAAGAGGCGGGACGGCGCAGCTGGCTGCCGCGAAAGCACGGGTTAAAGCTCTGGCTTTGCTCGCTACTACATTCTTTGGACAGGAATGGCAAAACGCTTCAAGCCTTTTTATGTCTTTACCGCCTTTCATCTTATCCCTGCGTCAGTCCCGTGCCCCCGGAGCTCACAGATCGCTATCGCATCGCTGCGACTACAGTTTTGTGCCCGACGGTCTGCGACAAACTGCAGTTTTATTTTCGATCCACGTGCCTTCGAAACTAAGTCGTTTTATGCTATTTATGGTGACACCTGCCGTGGTTTTCTCCACAGAGTTTGCAGAAAGCAGCGTTGCTTTGACCGGTCAAATGTTGGCCGCACGCACACTTTAGGAGTTCTGTCAGTAACGTCGTCGCCATACATTATCGTGTCGAACGACCGCAGTTTCACCCACAGCGGTTGTGGCAACAACAAACACACAGTGCGCGTGTTTGTCGCACGCTTATTTCCGAAGCGTCGAGCACGCTGTTCTTGATAGGCCTTCGTTCAATGGTTTCGGTACTAGAATTCATATCACACGCCGCGATTAGAAAAAGTGTTTGGAACATTCGAATTTTGGCCCAATGGACACATGCATTTGGCTGGCGAATTTCACGAATTTATGTCTGTTCGCAGTTCGCATCAATGAGACTACTACAAGTTGGGATGAACGCCTCTCAAATTCGTTTATAATGCGGTGGGCTCGCAAAAAAGCCTGGAATCGACTAGCCTGCATTTTTGTCAATGCGGCCAAGTCTCGCACACACATTTAGATTTTCGGCAGATTTTCATGGCAACCCTACACACGAAAGAAACAATCACGATCCGGGAGTCTCCCGGACAATGCGGGAGACTTCGCAAGAATGTGATGCCAACACCAATGCATATAGTTCTCTCCTGGTAGCACAATATAGCACAATGCCCTTTTGTGGCCTCCGCAACCAGCTACAGCAATGCGCCATAGCCAATTGCAGAGACCGCGCTATTTTACGAATTTTGTTTTTATCAGTAATGAAATACTTTTTGTAAATTTCAGACAAAATTCGTAAAATCGTACGTGCGATTAGAATTGTACATTTTACGGGAAAAATCAGAAGAGTTGGCAGGTATGCAAATGCCGATCTGGGACGCATCTGTGCCATGCTTCTTCCTTTTCCGTCCCTGCCAGGCAGAGAGCCTTCTCCTTTCAATGCCACGTGCAAAGAGAGAGGAAAAAAAAAAAGCTGGCACAGAATGATGGTGGTGGTCGTAGTAGTGGTGGTTAGAAGAGAAAGAAAGGCGCCCGATTTCTGCCACCCGGTTGAGAGCCCAGCGCAGCGCTTTTGCGGGTTTAAATTCTGCGGAGTGTTGGCTCTCTCTCAAATGCCGATGTGCGACGCGTCGGTGCCACGCCTCCCCATTTCCTGTCCTTCAAACCTACAGAACATTCTCCTGTGAACGCCGCGCGGGAAGAGAGCAAAAAAAAAAAAAAGGCTGCCACGGAGTGTTGGTTATTTGTCAAACTCGGATCTACTTCTCTCCACGTGGGAACGCTCCTTCTTTCTCGTCACCTGCTGGCCACGCTGCGGCGCAGAGGGTAGCAGCGAAGACGCAGTTGTCGGCGTCTTAACACCTAGTATATAGGTGTTATAGGCCTGTTCCCAGGAAGGCAAAGAATTCTCTCATTAGACTCGACCGCTATCTCCGGTAATTAAAACATTAATTACAGTATTTTATATAAATACTGCCGCAATCACAGTGTCTAGCGATTTTATGATTTCTCATGTCGTGCCAAGAGCCCCATAAAACTGCCCATCGAGCCGCATGCGGCATGCAGGCCACAGGTTGCGGAACCTTGAGATGAACGGTTTGGCGCAGTTTGGTGCAATTTCCGTCAATTTTATCAAGTTTGCGCAGCAAATCTCGTTTGGTGCACTTTGGCGCAGTTGGCACAGAAGTGGAATCCCTGAATTTTTAGTAGTAAGAGGATTTGACTTTCGGTAGGATGCAAGTGATGAACTGTGAATTACATAACATTTTAAAATTTATTATACATAGAGCATATAAGCTGTCATGACAAACATTTAAGCTTAATAAAATGAGGAATCAATTTAAGGTAATATGTTCATTTAAAGAGGCCCTGCAACACCTTTTCAAGTAGCCATAAAATGGATTCACTAAGAAAGCTTATTGCCTCACGAGTTCACCACCAGAAACATTTTTAGAATCTGTCCAGTACAAGCAGAGTTGCAAAAATTTGTTGCACGCTGCAGTTGCAATCTTTCATCTCGTCCCGACGGAAGCGCTGGAAGATCAGGAGGGAGGGATGGCAGCGTTGTCTGACCATGCTCGAAAAGTGTTGCAGAAGCCCCTTTATATTTGAAAAAGGCTTCCTGGCAGGGCAGAATTCTTCTGTGGAAGTGTTTTCACGGGTAAGCATCCTTATTGTGACGTGAGACCACTTTTACAGGTGGTTACATGCCGATTATTATACATTTATTCGTTCATTGCGAATGCCTCAAAATTTTCAATAATTCAAAATTCAAATCGAAGCAAATTCAAATACTCTAAAGTTCGTTCGATTATTTGAACCATTCGAATATTCGCACACGCATACTGAACAGAGTATAGTTATAGCGCGAGAACAGAAGGACGACAAAGAGATAAGAAGGACACGAGCGCTTTGCCGTCGTTTTGTTCTCGTAGTATAACTATCGTCATGTCATACCAACTAGCCCAAACTGCCACACTTCTAAGCTACTAAACTGGCCATGAATGACACTCCACTGAGCATAGTGGTGTTTTAATTTACTATTATAAAATTTAGTGAATCACTGCCATTTGTCCTGAATGTCGTGCATTCCAGTGGCATATGCATAAATGTTCATCCTTCCCTTTTGTTGACGTAAGTCAGCGCTGTGTGAGCATTGCCCTTCCTTGTCCTCATCTTCGTTTGCACTGCGCTTGCTTAAATATTTGACTTACATACGTTTACGCCATGTGTTTGTATGTGCAGAAGTTCACGAAAAAATTCATAAATTGTTTCTTCTTAGGGGGACGTGTTCCAACCCCTTGGATTCACCAGTGGAGCATGGGCTAAGCACTCTGTGGTGAGAAGTGCGTTGGATCCAACCACCAGTTCTTATTATTGTCAGCTATTGGCAAAAGCATGCTATCTGCTGTTCCATGTCAGACAGCATGTGCAGGCAGCTCCAAAGTGCGAGAGAGAGAGAGCACAGCACAGTATGAAAGTAGAGAAAAAGAATTATTAAATTTTAACACACATTTTTCTACCCACACGTTCCGTTGAGCAATTTTCGCTTGCCGTGATTCTATTGTGCACGAGTATATGACTGTGCTAGATGAAGCGATCCAGTCGACTTGGGTAAACCACAATGGTGAACACAAACATTAAAGTTGCTGATGGTCTGTTCACACTTCGCTGCATGCACTGACCTGAATCTTAATAGGTGTCGAGGCATCCTTGCGGTAGAAGAGGACACTGATATTCCACGTTGGGTCCAGTGTGCCCCGGCAAACAGACGAACGCACTGACTGGCCCTCACACAGCAACACACAGTATGGGTCTGCCACTGCACACAACGTGACACGATGCATGGGCCACAATGTGCGCACGCTTACAAGCCTCTGAAGGTTAAAGTTAATTTGAAGCTCTCCACTATGGTGTCTTCAATGCTCAAGTGCAACTTCAAAATACTTTAATTCTTACCGTGCCATGGTAATTTCCTGAATTTAGGTTAAAAATAGCTTACACTGTTTTACTGCTGAATCCTACACATCAAGGCCAGCATTTCCTGGATTCATGAAGAGGGCTGGTTTGACAATGATGAATGAGCACTCGTATTCAGTCCAGCGTTGAGTTAAAATAATTTTTTGTGACAGACATCCTCACAGGTTTTTGTTTACTGATGTGCATTACTGATGGGTCAATGTGAGTCTACTTACTATCATGCAAATACATGATTCTAACTACTACTTCTAACAGAAGCTTTGATCAACAAAGAGGTAGTCCTTTTCTGATCTGCATGCAGATACAGTGCAACCTCTTTATAGGAGACACTGATGTAACAGACAAATGAATATAAGAGGCCTCAGAGTGCCAACTGTAAAATAATGGTGGATAAGAAAATGCACATGATGTACCCTGCTTATAAGAGACATTTCATTTAAAAGACAAGAATGGCTGTACGGAGCATGCCTCTTATAATGAGGTTTAACCGCAGTGAAACCTCATTAGCATGTACACCAGCTTTAAACGTACTAATGGTTAAAGCGTAGTTGTGACAAATCCCGGACTAAGTCTCATAGAGACTAACGCACTTGTGGACTGCTTGAGCTGTAGTAGTTGTCATATGTCTACGGGTTAGTGTGTACCAACTGCATACCACAATAACATTCAGTGCCATAAAAGATTACTGTACCGCTGAACTTGCAGACGCCACAATGTGCCGCAAACGGTTTTCAGTTATTTTGATAAGTGCGAAAATCGGTCTTTTCAAGTACAGTATAACCTCGATGATACGTTCACGGCTGATACGAATTTTTCCGAGATCCCGGCCGAGGCCCATTAATTTACAATCTGCTAGAGTACTGTTGTTACGAAATGATTTTTTACCCGAGTCATTTGATACGAGTAAATGCCACCCCACCGACGGTCGCGGAAGCAAGCAGCATGCACGCACGTGCTGAAATGCGTGCTGCGCCGCCAGCGAGCAGCGGGCGACAGACTCCAAGTTCTGCGCGATATCGGACGCCGGAGTGCACCAGTGTGCCTTTTGCTTTCACTTGAAGGCTCCAGATGGCGCTGGCCATGGTGGAGACACAAATTCAATCCAATCCAATCTTTGTTTTGCTTGGTAGTGGGTGTTTTCTGGTGCGGACACGTGGTTACTGTAGTGCAGAGGCCGTCAACACTCTCTTGCCCAGTCGAGCACACGTATTTGCTTTGTTGTGCCTTCTTGTGGAGTCTCAGCAAGCCATGTCTCGCAAGCGGAAGGCTCTCTCCTTTAAAGAAAGACTGGACATTCTTCGAAAGGTCGATGAGGATCCCAAAAGAAAACTCACGGAGTTGGCTAAGGAGTTAGGCCTCGCTGCGTCAACATTGAGCACAATTGTTGGACAGCGGGACACAATAATGAAAAATGGTTTTCGTTCAGTGTCAACACAAAGCAAGCAAAGACAGCCCAACATGTGAAACTTGAAGCTTTATTGATCTGGTTCAAGAAGGTTACTGCAGCCGGTGTGAACATTGACAAAGTTTTGCATGAGAAAGCCGACGAGATCGCACTTGCTCTGCACATCGACAGATTCCAGGCCTCATGTGGGTGGCTGCACTACTTCAAGAAGAGACACGGTCTCGTGTACAAAAGCGTCTGTGGGGAAGCCACGAAGGCTGACGAGACCGTTGGTAGCGACTGGCTCGCGAAGCTGGAGTCTCTTATCCCGGTGTATGAGCCTCATGATGTTTTTAATGCAGATGAGGCAGGCCTGTTTTTTAATCTTCAACCCGAGAAGAGCCTTTGCTTAAAAGATGAAGCATGCCAAGGAAGCAAGAGAAGCAAGGAAAGAATAACGGTTCTTCTCTGCTGTAACGCCGACGGGTCGGGAAAACTTTACCATAGTTGAAAAATTTTAGAAGCCTTGGTGTTTCAAGTGCGAGATCCATTTGCCATGAGTCTAGCATGCAAACAAAAAAGTGTGGATGATGGCGGCCCTGTTCGAAGAATTTCTGTCTCTCCTTGAGAGAAGAATGGCCTTCAAGAATCAAAAGATTGTTCTGATTTTTGACAAGTGCACTGCCCACCCGAAGCAAGTGGCTCTTCAAAGCGTCAAGCTGGTTTTTTTGCCCGCAAACACGACGACGCACTTGCAACCCCTTGACGCTGGGATTATAAAAAAACGTCAAGCATCCATTTTAAGAGCGTTCTTGTGCGCTGCCTCCTTGCCAAAATCGACAAAAAAGACGAAGGTGGCCTGCGAATAAGTCTTTTGGACGCCATCCATTTTATCTCAATGGCTTGGGATAGAGTAATGCTGACGAACATTGCGAACTTCTTTGGTAAATGGGGCATCTTTAGGATTCCCGAAGAGGTGCCAGAGGTCCTTTCAGAGTCAGAGGAGCCCATCGAGGGTTGAGAATGCCTTGATGCTGGGTGCTTGGCAGATGACAATCTTGCCACTTGTGCTGCGCGCAGGGTGGAAGATAACGTCAACGAGGCCACGTGTGAAGTTGCCGATTCCAGCGACAATGGCGGAGAAATAGACGAGTACGACGGCGGAGGACCACCACTGGCTGCTGAAACTCTGCACGAGCTCGACGTCCTGAGGTGTACTATGGCTGCTGGAGAAATCAGTGACGACACGTGCATGCATTTGTATGGATTCCAGAAAAGTCTGCTGAGTGACTTGTCAAAAAAAAAAAAAAAGCAGAAACACATCAGAAATTTTTTCTCCAGAAAATGAATTTCTTTTGAGTGCCAAAATGAGTTTGCCTGTGTTCGCATGAGATTTGCACAGTGTTCCGAAGATACGAATTTTGACTATTACGAATATTTCATGTGACCCCGCGAGATTCGAATCATCGAGATTCTACTGTACTCGGAGTTCCATGTGATTATGGCAATGCTTCAACTAATATTTATAGGAAAAAAGGTAGGTGAGGTTTCAACCACCGAAAAACATGCCGGTATGACTTACCGCCGACAAAAGGCTTATGACAGTAAGCATGTGGTAAATATAGCCACTTAAAACTTCAGCATGTGGTAAATATAGCCACTTAAAACTTACTGCACGCTTTTGACAGGTGCCTACTTTAATGCGCTCGGCTCATTGTGCAGTACTGTGTTCAAGTGTGCATTGCTTTGCAGAAACACAAGAAGCCCACTACTGCCACTGAGTTTAGCATTGCCAGTTTCGCACCCCGAGATACCTTGCTGTATTGACAATAACACGAGCACAGTACTACAACAGGAGTAGCATTGTTGTAATCATACTGTACGCTTTTATAAAGCGCCAGCCCAAACACGCCTCAGTTCACTGACGAAACTCGTACAGCATCGCGGAATGCACATCGCTTGCAGAAAGCTCGTCATTGCCGCGTTAACCTAACAGGCTGCTCGCCATATCTATGCATTGTCTGAAGTTTCTGAAGTGAAGTGGGCATATTCTACAGCAAGCAGATTGGCAATCATGGCTTGTGCCGAGTAGGCAAAGTGCTGTACCCAACTAGCCGGTATACGATATCGCTCTTTGCAACCGTATCACGCTTAAAAAAAAAAAAGAAACTGCACCAGCTTTCGCTTAGAAGCCAAGACACACATATTGTGGACAGCCAACTGTGCCCGTTCTGTCGCTATACCACGCTATGTATCCTGGACCCTGCAGTAGATTCGAAACGCTCCTTCGCCTAGCCACTGCGTCCTATCAGAAGATTTTGCGAGAGTGACACAATTTGTGCTGCATTTCGGCAAAAAGAATGAAATGGCTTTGTGATGGGCACTTTAGACAATATTTCCTGCCACACTGTATTTATTCCCTTGTTGGTGGCAGTGGGGAAAATCAGGAGATGAAAATTTGTAGCTTGTGGTTAAAAAAATTGTATGTACTTGTGCGCGTGCACTTATCCTTTAGTGGGAAGAATTGCGCGCCTTCGGCTTTGACTGGAGCGACTGCGTTAGTTGCCGGGCACACAATGATCACTTAGCCCGCTGAAGAAGCCTCGTTTGTGAAAAAAGCATGCTTTTCAAACACAGCAAAGTAATAACTGAGACACTTCTTTGCAATCTGTACCTGTGATTACAATTAGTGCATTGTTCTTTTTTAACAGCGCGTTACGTGTCATGCGGTTAACATTGTTAGTTCGCTCTCGTCCTGTGTGTGTTGTTTTCGTGCATCATGTGTGCGTGAACAGCACGCTGCACGTTTTGATCTGCTAGCCATTCTCAGCATTACATTCTAAGTTATTGCTATCGCATTCATTGCTTCGCCCTTGCGGCGTAACTATGACTGTTTTGTTGTCGAGTTTGTCGTTATGAACTTTGTTGGGACACGTGCTGCGCAGGGCCCATTCGGTTGGTACGCTAGCTACATGGCTGGTTACAAACAGCATGCGCTGGAGCACTGAAACCAAGCGGCTGGACAACACTTCGGCGCTGATCCGTGTGCTTTCGTTGCGGGAGGAAACAAAGAGAGCTTCAGGCTACAAAAAAGATTTGACGCGCATTTCACAGCCCAAACAAGCAAAGCTGTCAAGCGAAATTTTCACTGTTGTAACTCTCGTGACTTTTTGCATAATGAAACGTCCTCCTAAATTTGTGCGAACTTTTCTGGAAAAAAAAAAAAAACTGGGTTCATTACGTGAGTAAATACACATGTTCTTAGAAACAAATCATCAGTAGGCGATACGATACTCACAACCAAAAGGGTCTTGTTGCTCGAGGTGTTTGGCTCCAATGACACGAATTACGGTAGCCAAAGCTGGCATGCTTTGGCAAGGAAGGAGCTTGGCACTTGGCACATCCTTCTGCAGTTCCCTGCGTTTTAAACGTTCATTGCACAGCACAGTCAGCGTCAGATTTTTCACGCTTTCTAAAGACCGCACAATAAATTAAAAAAAAAAATTTGCATTTTTTTCACTTTACTAGAGTTGTGAAAAAGACCAAATAGCTCTGAAGGCTTTCTAGTGCACTTATAAGGCATTTCACTGCTCACATATGAAAATCCTGTGCATACATTTGGTACTAGCTGGAAAATGTGTTTAACCACAAAGTAACCGCAAAAATAAAACTTGCACCTCTTGACGAGTGCCGCCAAAATTCGCAAAGAGCAAAAAAACTTTCAGCTCACTCGAAAGATCATACCATTGAGCTTAGTTGCAATAACAAGAATCATTTTAAAACAGTGGCACAAAATGCAGGGGCTGCCACAGCAGAGCAGACGACTTGTGCACTTTCGCCTGGTGTGAGTGCATATGCTTAAAATAAGAAAACCTCAGCTAGGTTTTTTTACCTTCGACCATCTGAGATTCTTTAATATGCACTGAGCTTAAAAATTACACCAAACTCTAGCATTTTGCCACCATCAAAATGTGACCACCACGTTTGTGATCGAACCTGCATGTTTCTGGTCAGCAGTTTAGCAGTGTAACTACTGAGCGACGGTAGTGGGTTCAGAGAGATTTACTACAGATAAAACCATTTTATAAAAGGTTACAGTGCATCTACAAGAAGGTTTGGACATGAGTAGACAAGTGATTTTTTTTAGCCTGCTTAGTTATTTACCTGGAGCACTGTCGTCTTGCTTGACAGAACCAACTTGACAGCAAGTTATCATAATAAATGCCACAGTGAATGAAAATTCAGATTTTTTGAGCAGGTCAGGCCAATTCTTGCCTGGGGCCCTTCAAGATTCTCTAAGTACCCCCTTTTTTTTTTACTTGCCGGTAAAGTAGGCTCGTAGTTGGAAATGTCTTTAGTGTCAGCAGGGTATCTCGTATTGTGGTACAATACAAGATGCTCATGCAAGAACTATTGCAGATACAGAATAATACCACAATGATAATACCCGATACTATACTCGCCAATTGTATCTTGAGATACTTCAATACATTCACAAATTCGCTATTATAGGACCCCATAATGTAGTAGCAAATATCTATGCACAAAGCGTTCTGCTTGAATATTCCTTAAATGTGATCAATTTTGTTGCAGTTTAATAAAATATCTCTTAGTATCTAACACGTATTGTCTTTTTTGCTCAAAGTACATTAGTTTACTTCCAAAGAACTTATTTTTGGGTTTGTTTTCTGTGTAGAAAGGGCAGCTTTTCGCCAACAGCGGTTCTTGATATGTATTTTTGCAATTGATGGGAGTCGCTGCACACATGGCCAAGAAGCCAGCATGTTGTCATCTAACATCAAGAGCTTCTACAAGGGGCCTTCTCATGATTATGCAAATACCGGCGTGCATATTTACCTTGCTCAGAAAAGGCGGTTTATGCTATGCCGAATCAGCAGTGTACAACAGCAACATCGCTGGTGGCATCATCTTTTGTGCCGCACTGTATATACGAAAAGCACATCAAACTTCTCTGGCTTTTCATGTTCCTGGCATAAAGTGTTTGTTCTCGATATACTCACTAATGTGCAATGTTTTATCAATTTGTCTTCAACGTGAGAACCTTAGTTTTGTTTATATTGACGAAAGCAGTCAACAAAATTGAGCCGTTGGCACTATCTGCCACACAGCTTCGCACAGTGAAGCATGGGCTTGTCCCTGCTCGTACTCCCTGTCGACCAACATGTCTAGCATCGAAATGGTGGCTTCCTCTTTGGATGTACACACTTTCTCAACACTTCCCCGTGGCCCTCTGGACACGATCAGGTGCAACCAGGCAATGCACCATAGAGCAGAGGTTGCGCACAATGTCTCCATTGGTGGGCATGGCTTAGCTAATGCGCATGGATGACATGACCAGGTGATGTGGTATCAGTTCACAAGACAACGTGATGGTGCTCTTTCCATGTTTCCATGGTGCTCTTTCCCCACTTCTTTCTTCAGCATTCTTTCAGTCTCTCTTTCTGCACTTCATTTTCCCTATTGCTCTCTCATTCATTATGCTCTCTTCCCCGTACTCGCTTCCCTTTTCGATTCCCCTGCTACACTAGTGTTACTATACAAGGCTATGCTGTGCTCTGCTAGCCTGGATAGCCAAGTGGTTGAGACGCTCGGGTTCGAATCCTGCCTTATGATGTTTCTTTCTGCAAGGATGTCTCTCTGTACTCGTTCTCAGGGTTATTACAGGCTCCCTGCAGTGGTGAGTAGTGGGATGGGCTCAAATTTTACAGCACGTACCCATTCGAGGTGACAATCGTTTGCGGGCACGGTCACAATTGTTATGCCGAGCTAAAACAGCTTAGCTGTGAAAAGGTGTTGCAACTTCAAAATACAGTAGGGGCAGCGCTGGATATTTTCTTGCTTTTGGTCTCCTGGCAATGCAAACACTTTTTCTTCCACATTTAGAGCTTTCTTTTTTTCTTAGACATATTTCAAATTTTCTTGGCAGAATCACTTTACACCCTGTATCCCTTTTATTGCCATGCATCCATATGTCCGTCTGCTGATCTACGCAACCTGCAAATAGTACTCAAGAAATAGTTTTGGGGAAAGAATATGTGTAGAACAGACAAACATGAAGCCACGATACACAGGACATGTTTTTTGAGTGTCTATTTAGCACTTCCCATATTTTCTCGCATATAACCCACACGAAAAATTGGAAAAAAAAAAAAATCGCCTAAAAAGTGGGGGTGCGGGTTATCTCCGAATAATCTGGAAGCAGAGGTCGGCTTCACGGCAATGCATGGCCTCCTGTGCAGTCCGCATCCCCATCGGCAACGTCTGGTGCAAAGCCAATAAAAGGCAACGCAGGCTAAGACAGATCTCCGTAGAATGTTTATTCACTTTTTGCGTGCTTTGTTTGATTTGGCCAACAGCGTCGCAACAGCGATTGGACAGCGTCTTTCTCTGAGTCAGGTGTTGCCAGTTTGCACCGTTGATCGGCCTTGTCTGGTGAGGTACTATAAGTGGGTCTCTGTGGAAATCTTTCACCTCAAAAAAAAAAAACTCAAGATTATAGCTGCTGCAGAAGAAATCGGCAACAGAGCTGCTGTGAGGAGGCACGACGTCGACGAGTCGTGCATTCCGAACTGGCGAAAAAAAAAAAAAGGCCTCTCTCGAAAGTGCACACAAGAAGAAGCAAGCATTTCGCGGCCAGAAGACTGGTGCGTATACCCTTCTTAAGACGCAGCTTGTCAAATTTATTGAGGAGTGAAGGAGTGGCGGCCACGCTGTGTCAACGGAGATGGTGCTAATAGAAGCACTGAAGTTGGCCTGCGAGATGAACAGCTCACGCAAGTTTCGTGCGAGCCGTGGATGGCTCCAGCGATTCATGGCCAGGCACAAATTTTCGATGCGGCGGCAAATGACTATGTGCCAGCAGCTTCCCAACGTCTACGAGGATAAGCTGTTAAGCTATCAACGTTACGTCATTGGGCTGCGGAAGGAGCACAACTACCGTATTTACTCATGTAATGAATGCACTTTCTCGGAAAATCGGAGCAAAGTTGTGGGGTGCGTTTATTATGCGGGGTAAATTTTATGAAAACTTCTTTGGAATGAGCAAAAAATGTGACAATGCAAAAAAAGTTAGGTCGCTTAGACTTTTGCAATTGATATACGCATACACTGTTTGGAAACAGCTTCTTTGTTGAACTTTGCTCATATTCAGTGGTTGATGGCGCTATCTACTGCAACCCGGGCCACCCTTGCATGCCATAAAAACGTTTTGCGCCTATCTTTTCTCGCAATCGTTTAACCGCAACAGTGGTATCTGCTGTGATCTCTAGCGGTGCCGAAAAGCGTGTGCTACGTGCTACAACGCACTTAGCCAACTTCGCAGCAACCTCCATGACGACCGTGACGCCGCTGTTAACACTGTAACAAGCACGACGAGGTCGTGGTAGCAAGTAACCAACATTGCAACAAGCTACCCCCCAAAGCATCAAAACAAACCAACGATAACATTATCGGGGGGGGGTTGATTCGTTAGAAAAAGGTGGAAAGGTAAGAAAGATGGGTGTGGAGTACACGATAATTGTCCCTCATGTGAGGAAACTTCAACTGATACACTCACGGGGGAACGATGAATGAAGGGACAGTTTCTGCGCACAGATAGAAAGAAAAGCAATAGGCACGCGGTAACAGGCGAAGGGGGGCAGAGGAAGCGAGCCGAGGTGGTTGAAGGGAGTGGGCAGAGTAATAAGAAACAGGGGAGATCCAACGGGTGAGGAAGCACCAGATGTTGGTTAGCGGGACTGCAGCGGATGAATGTAGGGGGTGCATTATTATGAGGGGGAAAAAAATCAAAATTTTGATGACTGAAGTTGAGGCTGTATTTATTGTGCGAGTGCGTTCATTACGTGAGTAAATCTGGTACTTGCTTTTCCATGTGGGAAATACTGCTCAAACGCCCGTGTACTTCGAGATGCCCATGGACACCACTCTGCAGTCTGCAGAAAAAGGGCTCGAAATCTGTAAATGTACTGACGGGCGGAAACGCTAACTACACTGCACAGTAATGTTGTGCACTTTGGCGGATGATACCAAACTACGCCCGTACGTAATCTTCGAGTGCAAAACGCTATCCGGCACTCCACTGCCACCAGAGATTGTTGTGCGAACCCAAGATAACGCATGGATGAATGGTGACCTCATCTCTGACTGGCTTCGCACCATCTGGGAGAAGAAGAAGAGGCCGTGTGCTATGTTGGCACGGTGGTCGATGCTGGTGTTGGGGTGTTGGGCTCGTTTCGAGGCGACCACTGCACTGACGCAGTGAAAGCGCGCCTTGCTGACCACCACACCGACCTCGCGGCGTGATTATACCCGGTGGCATGACTTCCATGCTACAGCCACTGGGCGTGTGCCTCAATCAGCCTCTCAAGGCGCACATGAAGCAGCTGTATGCAGAGTAA